AGAAATGTAATAAGTTCAAAATCACATATATGAATCAGGCAAAAGGAATTCAATGACATTAAGAAACCACAGACATAGTAGATCTGCCTGGCAATATCTGTATGTCCCAAGAAGCAGCCATTATCATCTCAGTAATCATGTGGAAAATGAATATAAGAGCCTGGTACAGAACCATAAGATTTCCCACACTTATCTGTTTCTAGTTCTGGACCACAGCACTCATGCTTGCTTCATAGTCGTTTGGAATGGCTGGTACTCTCTGGAGCGCTTCAATTCTACTGTTCACACGGGGATGTCACTGAGGTTCAGACATCTTCAGGGATATCCTATAAGACAATATCTATGAACAGTACAGTCAAACACTCTTTCCTCCACTGCTGGATACACGAATCAGCTCCTTGAGAGGATTCTCAAGCACTAGGTATGTCATTGGCAGAATTCATCACCCGATGGACACAAGATTGGTGATAGTGTAGCACCTATGTTAGTGTCTTCTGACCTGCTGGTGGTAAAGAAGAGCTGGCGCCTTTCAAGCTGGTGGCTTTCAAGATGGTGGCTTTATTAGCTGTTGACTAACTGCCTGACTTCCAAGGAAATATCATCCTATGACAAAAAGGAACCCAGAATTAGCAGTCATCTCACAATTCATATGCTTAGCTCATGTTATCACTATCCACACTTAATAACTACTCAGAGGTCTGCTGTAAGAAGCTCTGTGCAACCAGTGTCAGAAATTAGTAGAAACATGAGGCAAAGTTCCACTAGTAGATAGACAAAAGTGTCTCCGATATTGTACAACATCGCTCTACTATCATATCTGCACAACTGTAGTTACACAGACTACTACTCACACAAATAAGAATATTATATTTCCCACAAGTTGACTCCAGCCTTCCAGGTTACCCAGTGTTTGGACATGAGTTAACCTGTAAATACCCCATGACGTCACTTGCTTGTCCTCAGCCGCTCAGTGATAATGTGTGTTGACCCAATTATATTACCAGTCTCCCGGTGTGGCTCAACCTTTCTCACAACTAAAACTAGTTATGGAACGATTTGTCTGCTAGATTAAATCATTGATACTAGTGCTGGGGTTGGTAGTGTACATAATCTCAGCTTGAAAAGGGGAAGTTTTGATTAAGCGGGCCTGAGCATTTTGACACCAAGAAAAGTCTCGCTCTATAATGTCTCATAACCGAGTTATCCCTCTCCTCAGCAGCGGGGTAATTATATATATATATATATATATATATATATATATATATATATATATATATATATATATATATATATATATATATATATATATATATATATATATATATATATATACATGGTACTCGTAAACTCTAATAGACTTACCCAAGCTTCAGGAAATATCTTGGACATAACAGCTTCCCTCCCAGTGTATAAAATTGAGAGTCAAAGTGTTGCCAGTCAGTTCTATTTGAATGTCGGGCAGAGAATGATAGGAAAACGCAAGCGTCACTCTCACAGAAGTGGTGCGAAAATTCTTTCGCTGACGTCATGAATCGTCCCATCGGATTAGGAGTAATAACACAAAGAATCTCTAACTTCCAACTGTAAGTTTGAAAATGTAGACACATCAAGAGATTCAGAACATACAGAAATATTTATTTCGTCGTGCGAAGGTGTCAATAGACATGAGAACGTGTCTATATTTGAATGTGACCTCGCCTCCAGTGGCGACAGGGTCACGAATAGTGTAATGTGTAGAGATGGGTACGGCTTTTTATTACAGGTTACTGCTGTCAAAGTTAATGGGAAAAGAGCAAGAGGTGGAAAAAATATAAATACCTGGGTGGTTGATTGGGCAAGAAAGTAGCATGACCGCTTAGCCTTTTTGGCAGTGCTTATGATGATGACGATGATGATTACGACGATGACGATGATGATGACGATGATGATGATGATGATGATGATGATGATGATGATGATGATGATGATCACAACGATAATGATGATGAGGAGGAGGATCACAACGATGATGATGATGATAGTGACATTGATTAAAAAATGGCCCTTTTCCACGCTAAAGGCATATTGGGAAAATAGAGCTAGAACTGTATTTTTATTGACCAGTCGGCACTTGGTGTTGGATGTGGTCAGCATCACGCAGGTTGCCTTTACTTCCCAGGACAGCATTTGGTAGCAACTCAAGGCTTGGTCGACCTGGGAGTCAAGGGCATTTTTTTAAAAGGAAAAAAAAAACAGTCCTGGCTACGTCAGGACGAGAACCCTCCACCTTAATGTGGTTGAGAATAATTCTAAAACGAAGGACCATTTATCAAAATGAATTGCCACTTTCTGAATATCGATTCTAAGTAGTTTTCTGTCACCAGCGAATGTTGCTGTGCGCGAGGGACTTGGGGCTTCAAACTGTGCAGTGATGGGGAATATCCGAACGAAGTCATCAAGAGTTTTGGAGGATTCTTCTTTGGCCTGCTGCTGTCTATGGCGCTGTTTCTGTTCATCTCGCTGCAAGTGAGACGTCATACCAAATCAGTAACAAAGAAGTGCTAAGTATCGGTAAAACTAGCATTAGTTATATGCGTATGCTATAAAGGACGTTGCAGAACCAACGAAAGCAATTTTTGGCTGTGATGGTTTTCCTAGGCAAGTTTACGTCCAGTAGTTTGCCATTGCTACTGGACGGTCGGCGTCTCGATACCACTGTCGAAACCAACGCAAGCCACAAGGCCCGCAGCTGGGATCGAACCCGGCACCCCGGCATTACAAAACGCGTTTGTAACGCCTAAGCCACAGACGCCGACAAAGCTAGAGTACTAATGTGAAAAAAAAAAGTTATGTTACGGCCTATAGTACTACGGGAGTCACCGTGGCGGAGCGGCTAGACGCTTGCCGCGGGTCGGAAGGTCGTGGGTTCGCTCCCTAGAGGGGACGGACTTTTTTCAAAAATGACCTTGGCTCCCAGATCGACCCAGCCTTGAGTGGGTACCGGGTGCAGGCCCGGGAAGTAGAGGCGGCTGGCGTAATGCTGACCACATCACCCATCTTAGCCGATGGTCTTTAAAAAAAAAGGTCTAGCCCTGTATGCCCTATACGCCTAAAGGCGTGGAAAAAGGTCCTTTATTATTTATTTTAATACAGGGAGCTGCTGTGGTGTGGCGGCTAGACGCTAGCCTGTTGATCGATAGGTCGTGGGTTCAAGTCGTAACGTTAACTGACTTTAAAATAAATGACCTTGTCTCTCAGGTAGAGTCCTGGGAAGTAAAGGCTGGCGGCGTGATGCTTATCCCCTCACCTTGCAAGTGCTGACTGGTCTAGTCATGTATGCCAGATAGGCATAAAGGTGTGGAAAGGGTCCTACTTTTGGGGGAGGCGTTGAAGGGGGGAAGGGTGGGACAGAGGTTCAATGGATAGATGTTCGCCAGCTGATCTGAAAGTCGGGGGTTCAAATTCGAACATAGCCAGACTTTTTTTCAGAACGGAACTTGACTCCAAGATGGGCCCTAGTGGGTACCAGACAAAGTCCTGGGAATTAAGGCGGCCGGTGTGTTGCTGACCACATTACTCACCGAGTGCCAAATGGTCTATTAAACTATGGTTCTAGAACTATGTGCCTTGTACGTCTGAAAACGTTGTAAAGTGTTCTTTCTCTTATTCTTTTGTCAATATTTGCTTATGCCTCTAGGCGTCACAGTTCAACAGATTATTTGCAGGCGATCCTGGGCGCGCTCAGTCGCTTCATATGCCGTGATGTTTTAGCAGTTAACAGGGTGTCGGTGACTCCTTCGCTTTATTTCTTTGCTTTAACTTTAATTAAAGATCTTGCAGCGCGCAGTTAGTAACTGTATCCGTTCACATCTATTGATTTATATACTATAAATAAAATTGGAAAAAATAAAATGGGTACCACATGAAAATCGTTCAAGACCACATGTTACATCAAATGAGGGCAGTGTGAATATAATTAAACAGTTACATTTAACCAAATGTTTGTTCATTCTGGTAGTCAATTAGTTCATCAACGATTGGGCCCTAAATACCCAGACTTCAGACACCCCCCTCCCCTCCCAATCCTCTCCTCGTTGTTTTCCTATCTAAACTGACCACACACACACACTTCAACTGAGAAATTAAATGATCGGCTCCAAGGTAATTGAAAATGTATATGGTGTTCCCTCCCTTCATGATGGTCTAAGCAAGTGCTTAATGTGTTTTATTGGTTAACCGCACACTCCTTAAGTGTTGTGTCTGAAAGCCATTGAGATTGCTATCATACAGTTTTGGGAACAACTCACTAAGTCAGGCCCAGGCTCCGCCCACTTACACATTAGGTCACTTTAGATTGGTGTTTTGTCAGGCTGTTGAGCTTTGCTGAAGGTATCAATGGGTGTCCCGATTTACTGTTTGCACGAAAAGCTTTTTACGTTATGTTCTATTTACGTTTTTGTTACGAGAAAGATATTGCGTTGGACGTAGGCTGCAGCACTCTCGTAAAAAAATGGGGGGGGGGGGGGTGGCGGGGATGTGTTAGGGACTGTTCTGCATGTTTTGGGACCGTTTAAAGCACTGACATTCTGGAATATACAAAGCCATATCACCAGCCCGTTAAGAGAACGCAGAAAGCTTTTCGAACAAAACGGTACACAGGGACACCCCTGTAAAATTCAGCAAAATTGCCGAGCCTATAAAGTATGAATAAAAAGTGACATAGTGTGTAAGTGGGCGGAGCTGGGTCCGGAAACGTGAGTTGTACCTAGTTTTGTGTCTAAGGTAGCCAACCAAATGATTGGGAGGAGTTTTGGCAGACCGCCAGGTAATTTTCGCGGAGCTATGGTGGTCAGATATACCAAAAGTGGAAGAACATTGTTGTAAAAAATATTTACTAACTATATGTGATCACACTGTAATTTAGACATTTTTAAAAGAGACGGGCAGAAATATCCATTTTGCAGTCAAGAACATTCAGCAATTTGTGAATACCGGGGAAATATTTTGCTTTATTTCCTCAGATGAAAGCAGACATGAAGTTCTCACTGGCAATAGCAATCGGAACAGGCTTTATTTTGTCCATAGGAATGGCGTTTTTCAAAGGCGTCCGGTGTTTAGTGTTTCTGATTTTACCAAATTTCTGCTCCAGTAAAGGGAGGTAAGACAGTGTTCGAGAGCAACTAGGTCACTGATTTGTGGTTATACGAGAAAGGTATGATCAACAGTGTCAAGCACGTGACATCATGGTGACATCATATGACAGTTTAAAGAACCCCCCCCCCCCCTCTTTTTTTATATCTCCCAAAAAGCAGCCGCGTGTTTTTTTTTTTTTTAAATCAGTGGAGTAAGGAAACCTAAAGAATTTCGTAGGTGAATGAAGGTCCCAGTAGGGTGATAGCTGCTTGGTACATCGGTAGGTGTATGAGTGGAGTAGAAAGTGCATGGTGCATGTCACAAGAGGTGACCATCTTCAAACTGCCATTATGACGCCACCGAGTACGTCGGCACCGTGGTGTCACATGCTTAACACTCTTGGCATCTTTAACTTAACAACACTGACAGATTACCAGAGAAAGGCATGGTTAATGTGATTTCTATTGCACTTTGTAAAGTTTTTTTATTTAAATTTAAAGCTTCCTCGAAATGTAATGATGTGTGTGTATGTGTGCAGATTTAGTAAAGTGAAGGACCCTTTTCCACGCCTTTAGGTGTATAGGGCACATCGAGTTAGACTTATGTTTCATAGACCAATTGGCACAAGAGGGGTGATGTGGTCAGCATCATGATGGCCACCTCTACTTCCCGGGACTGCACCCGGTACCCACTCAAGGCTGGGTCCATCTGAGAGCCAAGGTTATTTTTGAAAAAAGTCTGGCTCCGCCAGGGAGCGAACCCACGAACTTTCAATCCGCAGCGAGCGTCTAGCCGCTCTGCCACGGCGACTCACATGTGTATGTACATATATAGCTAGCTGTACCCGGCCACGCGTTGCTGTAGCATAGTTTGGCTAAATGGAAAAGAAAGAAAATTTAAATCGCACGAGTCTAATATGGTTACTGTCGCAATTATTGTGTGCTCAGATACCCGGCCACGCGTTGCTGTGGCATAGTTTGGCTAAATGGAAAAGAAAGAAAATAGAAATCGCACGTGTCTAATATGGTTACTGTCGCAATCAATGTCTGCGCTGATACAGAGATAGTCTTCGATGTCCCCTGCCCCCCAAATTCACATACTACTCTCTCCTTCATCGAAGGTTCTTGGAAAAGAAAGGCAATAGAAAACGCACTTGTCTAATATAGTTAAGGTCGCAATCATTGTCTGCACAAATATAGAGATAGTCTGGTTTGCCGACTAGAACACGCAACATATAATTGTGTCTTTATATCAGTGGTCGTTTAAATGGTATTATTAGAACAGTTTAAAAAAATGTTTTTTTAGTTATCACATGCTAAAGCTGTTTGTGTGTGTGTGTGTGTTTTTAAAGAGACGAAAGCAAAGATTACTACTGTACTTGTAAATAACCAAGTATATCGTTAAAAAAATAAGAATAACGGAGGTAGCGTTAGTAAAATATAAACACATTAGGAAATGAAAACTTTAAAACATGTGTTAAGCTCTCTCCCTCTTCGAAGGATTTGAAAGTCATCACCTGACGATATTTTTTGTAACTGACCTTGATATCCCTGTCCATCCGGACTAAAATGGGGAGCAGGAATTGTAATGAGTAGTAAATGCGGCTAGAGTAATATTTACTACACCATCTTTCAAGTACCATAACAACTACTACCAGCACCACCACAGTAACTAAATGTCACTGCTTTCTGTTTTACCATCGGAGTAGACAGGGAGTGGTTAGCCAGAAGATTTAGCGCCGCATGGCTAGTGCTGTCGCCGCGGACTGGTCAGGTTAGGACGTATAATTTCGCTCGCCGACAGAAAAAACGCTATCACTTTACCGGCTGTCTCCGGCATGACAGCACTACGGTGTAACCGCCCAAACACGACTACTGCTAATTTGAGTGTTACTGTGACTTGAAGCTCTCTTAGTTAACTTTTATGTTATACGCCCCCTCCACCCCGCCCCTCCAATTCACCAACTACTCTTTTCTCATCGAAGTAGTTGGGGGGGGGGGGAGTGAAAAGCAACGCAAACAGGGAAAATACACCATAATTACCAAATGAACGCTATGGTAAACAGCACTGCCCAATTCCAACACAATGTCATTCAAAATAATTAAATCAAAATGAAAATAAATGGAAATATATACAAATTCAACGTAACCATGCAATCGGAAGGTTTGAAACGAAATCATAAGTATGCGAAATGGTCCAATTTAATTATCAACTGGTTTACCCACATACCTGTACTTTTGTTTTTCTTTTTTATTATTTAGGGCCGCATGGTTAGTGCTGTCGCTACGACAGTGCAGTTGAGGGTGAAAAAAAATCAAATGCCGTACTGGGGATTCGAACCGTGGTCTCCTGCACGGGAGCCCAGTGTTCCAACCATTCGGCCAACCAAACACTCCTTTCTGAACAACGTATTTGAGATGTGTGTCCCGACTACTGTGTACTGATTTTAACACAACTCAAAACCGCAGGCAATAGTTTTCTCATAGACAAATCTCCTAGACATAAACTTCAAGTATTATCAAAACGGCACAACAATAGAAATCGCACGTTTCTAACACGGTTAGTGTCGCAATCATTGTCTGCGTGGAAACAGAAATAGTCTCAAATACCACCCCCCCCCCCCCAAAATCCACCGACCTACTCTCTAACTCATCGAAGGTTGTTGGACAAAAAGAAAATCGAAATCGTGTCTTATATTGTTAATGTCGCAATCATTGCCTGTGCAGATATAAAGATAGTCTGGTTTGCTGTACCACACCGGCGAATGGTGAAAGTCGTGTTATATGACTACTGTGCATGCGTATTTACGAACGTGGCTTTAATTAAATGTCACTAAAATGAAAATATTTTCCTAACAAATGTCGCCACATATTTTAAATCATAACAACTAGAATTTCAGCTAAATCGGTTTAGTAGTTTCCGAGTCTATAGGTAATAAACAAACACACAACATTGATTTTTATGCGTTGCTGTGGCATAGTTTAGCTACATGGAAAAGAAAGAAAATAGAAATGGCACATGTCTAATATGGTTTACTGTCGCAATCATTGTCTGCCCAGATACAGAGATAGTCTCTGATGCCCCCGCCCCTGGCCCCCCCCCTCCCCACCCCCAAAAAATCCATCTTCCACCCTCTCCCTCATCGAAGGTTCTTGGAAAAGAAAGACAATTGAAATCGCACGTTTCTAATATAGTTAATGCCGCAATCATACTAAAGAAAAAAAAAAAACAATAAAAAAGGACAGGTATGTGGGTAAACCAGTTGATATATAAACATATATATATATATATATATATATATATATATATATATATATATAATATATATATATATATATATATATATATATATTAGGGCTGTACCGAATATTCACTTCGTTTTCGTTTTGGGGGCCAAATAGTGGACCTAATAACTATTTGGTATTCAGCCGAACAGTTGCGGTCGGGCCGAATACGAATAGTCGTTACCTTACACCCGTTTCTGGACTTGTTGAGAAAATAAACATATCAAGATTTCCCACCTTGGTTTATACTGTCAAGCGTTATGTTTGTGCACTACCTACGAGCGTACCAAGTGAACGTCTGTTTAGTACAGCTGGAAATACCTTCAGTGAGACAAGAAGCTGCCTTAATGCTGACAACATGGAACTTTTTTTTTTGGGAAGGTAATGCCGCTTTTATGGATTAACTAATCTCTCAGTGACAATTTACAAGTTTAGTTACTTGTTATAAAACTAAGAATACTTTCATTCCTATTTATTAGTTACAACAGATTAACTGACTGAAGGCTGCAAAACATTAAAAATGTTAAATGTTAAATGTTTACTATTCTGTACTACATTTTGTAAAGTAAAATTTCAGCGTACATTTGACATTATTTTTAAATCTATTTTATACACGAAAGTGGAAGAATTGGCATCAGTTTAAATAGTGGGAAGACAGAAGTAATGTTGGTATCAAGGAAATAGTCATTCCTAAATTTGTAATAAAAGTAAATGGTTTTATTTTGGGACGTTTTATTTTGGGACAAGTACAGAAATTTAAGTATTTGGGCACATGGATAACATCAAATGGAAGATGCATTACTGAAATAAGAGACAGAATGGGACAGGCAAAAACTGCATTTTATGAAATGAAGAACATCTTATGCAATATATCTTTGTCATTAAAGGTTAGAAAAAGAATTCTTGCTTGCTACATACATCCAGTTTTAACATATGGCTGTAAGTCCTGGAAAATCGGTAGGCAGGCCAAACAATTCTTGAGGCCTCAGAGATGTGGTTTTACAGAACAGTGCTTAAAATTCATTGGACAGAAAAAGAAAAAAAAAAGCAACCGAAAGGTTTTGATAGAAGCAGGAGCCCGAAGACAACTACTCACAGACATCGGAAGGAGACAGTCATCATTTTTCGGCCATATTATAAGATGAGGGAAAATGGAACATGTGGTGACCACTGGAAAGATATGTAGAAGGAGGGATAGAGGAGGACAACGAGAGAAGATTCTTGACAGTCTTGTTGCATGGCATGGAGTTGTGTCAGCACATGAACTAATAAAAGCTGCAGGAGATCGCAGCTTGTGGCGAGGCATAATCACCGAAGCACCTGATGATGATGATTCACTATTCGTATTCGTATTCGGCCGAATAGTTGGTCCAGCTAATTGTATTCGGTCGAATAGTGAAAATCACTATTCGGTATAGCCCTAATATATATATATATATTCAACATAGAAGACCTTGATGTTCATTGCTGCAGATTTCACTAGCCTCCAGTTATCAACGTCTATCAATATGTATGTCCGGCTGTCTCATTATTGCATCCTTTTTTTTTTTTTTACCTTTTGCTTCCCTCACGATTGCTGGATGACAATGGGTCACCCCAACCCTGACCCATACTCACCCGAACCTCCAAAAAATAACGCTGCGACACTTTACACGAGGATAAAAGTGTACGAGTTAACTCTCCACAAGCCGCTAACCTCTTCGAGTCGGGATTGTCTGGCAACATTAGAATTTCGCAGTGTGCGGTTGTAGTAGGAAACACATGGGAGCATTCGCGATGGGTGCTCACGTGCTAGCACGGGAAGTGACGGGAGGATAGATGCGCATTCTACAGGGTCCTTCACTTGGAGACCAGAAACTTAGTGTATTGGGCCATCTTGAGATGTAAGAGCTTCCGCGATGTCATAGTTAGGTTAGTTGCGTATCCTATACAGGACGTTGCAGAACCAACCCCAACAGCCCCTGGCTGTTGTGTAGTTTTTATAGGCAAATTTACGTCCAGTAGTTTGCATTGCTTTACTGGACGGTCGGCTTTCTTGATACCACTGTCGAAACCAACGCAAGGCATATTGTCCGCAGCTGGAATCGAACCCGGCATCCCGGCATTACGAAGCGTTTGCATCGACTTAGCCACAGAGCCGACGATGTCATAGTAGGTAAGTTAAAAAGCGCCCGTGTTTGTAAATGATAGTAAGTTTAATTTGAGGACTTAACAGGTGGGGAACCATTAAGACCGCGTAAACTTATATTTACTTTGAGGGGGGGGGGGGGGGGGGGGAGGGGGAGGGAATATTGTATTGAAATAAACAGAAATACATAAGAACACGCACCATTGTTTAGGAAAAGGGTAAAGGTGGAAGGAGGGGTGGGGGAGGGGGGTGTTCTTCTATTACATTCTATCTAGGGTACCCAGAGATTTCGTATGGAATTCCCGGGAAAGTCGAGTATTATTAGGGTATTAAGGTGCAAAAAAAAAAACACCAACATTAACCCTAAACCCCCTATAATATTAGACTTTTCGAGGAATTCCTTGAGAAATATCGGAGTCGCTGAGACAGAGTAAAATAAAATAGAACACGGAGGGTAGCAAGGGAGCATAGGCGCCTAGGTTCATGCGCCCATGTTGAGAGATCCTTGTTAGCTCAAGGGAAGGAAATGTGCGTGTGTAGTTTCAGTCACTAAAGTCGAGTCGATTGGAGCTGATGATCTCCCATCAATTACGGTGGACCAGTTCAGAGATAATCACGTAAATGCTATTTGTTAAAGGTCAGGCCACTGGGTTATCGAATTATATCACGGAAAGCTTTCACCCAGACAATCAAATAATCACACATTTACTGCAGACGCGATTGCTTCTTTCCCTTTAGAGATTCTGATTTTACTTCAGTAAAGATTAGATTTACAAGTATTGATTTACACCTTTCATAAAGATATATGGTATATTGCTGCAGTGAGTTGCTGGTCAGTTGCCCTGAACTGTTGGTTAGTCACATTAGGCTCACTAGCATTGAACTGCTGGCCAGTTGCAGTGTGTGGTCGATAAATTGTACTGAACTGTTATGAAGCTATAGTGAGCTTTGATCAGTTGCAGTGAGCTTTGGTTAGTAACAGTGAACTGTTTGTCAGTTGAAGAGAGCGTTTGGTAAATTGCACTGAATTGTTGTTATGTTGTAGTGAGCTGCTGGTCATTTGCAGTGAGCTTTGGTCAGTTACTGTAAACTGTTTGACAGCTGCAGTGAGCGTTTGGTCAAGTGTACTGAACTGTTTTTCAGCTGCAGTGAGCGTTTGGTCAAATGCACTGAACTGTTGTTGCTCAGTTGCAGTGGGCTATAGTTCAATTGTAGTGAGCAGCTTTTCTATTGCTGTGCGCTGTTGATCAAATGTAGTGAACTGTTGCTCGGTCACACTGAACTGTGGCTGGGTCACAAGGAACTGTTGGTCAACTGCATTGAACTGTTAATCACTAACGGTGAACTATTACTTGAGTTGTAGAGAGTTGTCCACTGCAATGAAGTGTGGTTCAGTTGCACTAAACTGTTAGCCAGGTCTGTGAGCTTGTATATCAAGTTTTGACAGGCACTTTTCTGATTTGACCTTTCTTAACCTTAAATTGCCTTTCGTCTAATTACAATGCTGCGGGTTATTACAAAGCACCAGTCTCGTTGCTATGAGAAATAATTGCCTGCGGTTTTGAGTTGTGTTAGAATTGGGCACAGTAGTCGGGACCACGCCCATCTGTATCTTTCTAAAGATGGCCGTGTCGGGACAAAGATCTCAAATAGTTTTGTTCGCTTTTAGTTGCTCAGAAGGAGTGGTTGGTTGGCCGAACGTTTAGACGACTGGGCACCTGTGCGGGAGACCATAGTTCGAATCCACAGTACGGCATTTGATTTTTTTTTAAACCCGTGGGCAAAATAAAATCCTCACCTGCACTTAGATTTAATTTTTTCGTCTGACATTGCGTTGGAATTAAGCTGTGCTGTTTACCATAGCGTTAATTTCATTATTATGGTGTATTTTTCCTGTTTTCGTTGCTTTTCACCTGGGGGGGGGGGGGGGTGTGGGGGGGGGAGACACAAACTGTTAACTGAGAGAGCTTTAAGTCACAGTAACTGCCTTACCCACTCAAAGTAGCAGCAGTGCCAGACTATTTATTGCTGCACCCCTCTTGAATTCATCCCTTTTTATGTTTGACATTTTCCACAGGCTTTTGTTTTCAGATGCATTTACCTTTATTCCAGATTTAAAGTGGTTTTCTGGCTTTCCTGGCATATATTAAAAGTGAAATAGCATTATAAGTGAAAATACGTAACTTGGTTCTAAATCTGTACGATCTGGAGTGAAAGAAGCTGGCGAGAGAAGCTTCCTTTAGGCGAGCTGTGATGGCCACGACTTTCACCGAAGGACCTGCTACACAATGATGATATGATGTTTATGAATACATTTCTATAACACTTTGTAAATTAACCATTTCTCCATTATTGCTATGATGTGACCAGGTCCTTCCTGCTTGTATATGCTATGGTTCTGGTGATGAACTTTCCTGTCAAGAACTTCTCCCACAATATGGACGTGATGACGGAGGCCGCAACTTGTGGTGCCAGTTTGGCCATGAACGAAACAAAAGAGTTACTAGAAACAGCTGCAGCGCCGTTGATGTTTGTGATACGCGGCGTTAAGTGAGTAGAGCATATGAGATGTTTGAGTAAGAGTACAGCATAAACTAAACGATTTTCTGGTCAAGTAAAATTATATCACATAGAATGGCAGCTGCTACGCCTCTGGGCTGTGAACTACTTTATGATAGAGCGGACATGGTGAAAGCTTCCTGTGATCAAGAAGACAGTGCAACAGAACAGTGTATCCATTCCTCGTATAGATGAATAACGATTTTGGACGATATTTAACGCTGAGGTGGAAAACACAAGATGACTTTTACTCAGGTTGCAGATGGCACAATTAGCATGAGAATTCTTCGTTGGCCACTAAGGAAAGAGACAGAGCATGTGTGGGAATGTCTCGATAACCGGGATGTCAGTTCATTCATTTATTCATTCATCAATTCCTTCATTCATTCCTTAATTCATTCATTCATCATGCTCAATGTAAAATCAGAGTTTAAAAAAAAATATACTAGTCGTTTATCCTCCTCATGACGTCACAAGCCATCTCAAGCCATCTTTTGGCCGTTGATTGGTTGCAGACCCAAAAACCACAAGCACCACACCGTAGCAGGGAAGCACAGAACCGGAATATCAGGTGTGACTATACACCACAAATAAAAGGAAACCAAATAAGACAGCCAAGGAACCTTCCTTTAAATAGCAGGCCTCCTGGCAGCTGAAAAAGGATCAAGTTTGGAATTTTTGTTGGACAATCTGGAATGGAAGTGGTTGATTGGTTTGATAGACAATTCATGTTTCCTTATTTGCTATTGTATGCTGGTGCTCTTACCGTCGTCAGGATCAACGCAAAGTCATATGCTACCAGCTTGCTTGCAGCTAACCGCGAAACCCCGTGTATGTTATACAAATGCTGGTCAGCCTCCGCTGATAAACAAAGGAAAGCTGGGAAATAGAGTAGCAAAGAACATTCCAGAATGGTGACAAACATAAGTTCTTGTTGTTGTCGCCAGGTGAAGGAACATAACATAGCAAGGAAACAATTAACGACATGATTTGTATATTCCAGTGCTGCAGATTTAATTTGTTTCCAATCATCGCTTTCCTATTACTGACTCCAGATGAATGTAGGTCTGTCAGGGTATTATCTCGTCACCGTCTGTTTTGTCTGCCTCGTGGTCTACGACCATTCAACTCCCTTTTGTACATAGTACATACCTCTCTGTCGTCTGAAATTCTCTCATTATTTCCCAGCCATTTCAGTCTATGAGCCATCATGAGTGACCTTCAACCTCACCAAGACCGCACAACGAGCGACTAACACTCGGTGACACGAACTGCCACCATTCGAATGAGAATCTCCTGGGCACTAGTTCCAGTGGCCCTGTTCAACCATTAGGTTATATTTTAGGGCCCCCGACAGCAGCCAGAATGGGGCTTTAAAATAACAAACAATTGCGCCCTGTATTGGGGCAGAATGCTTAGAATACCTTGAACAGCCAAAAAGAGCAACCAAGAGGTTTTGATAGAGGCAGGAGCCCGAAGACAGCTTATCACAGACATCAGAAGGAGACAGTCATCATTTTTCGGCCATGAGAAGAGGGAAAATAGAACATGTTGTCGCCACTGGAAAGATCTGTGGAAGGAGGGATAGAGGAAGACAACGAGAGAAGATGCTTGACAGTCTTCGTTGCATAGCATGGTGTGTCGGCACACAAACTGATATATGCTGTAGGAGATCGCAGATTATGGAGAGGCATGATCGCCCACGCCAGTTGGCAATTCACCTGATGATGATTGAGGCAGAACTAATATATTAGCTATCATGCTGCCATTAATTATTTAAATTAACCTGTCGTGACACAATTATGCGGGACAATAAATTACTACGTCGATTGTTTGTCCCCGAGTGTTTAAATTCGTAAGCAGAAACCCCTTGTTTTGGGGTGTTTTTGTCCATTTTTTTCTTGCTTTCCACAAAACGCCAGTCTCTTCTTCTTAAGTCTAGTTTTGCTTCTATATCATCCTATGCTTCTTTTGCATGGTAAGTTCTAACGAATTTATGTGGCAATAATTTGACTTTGGCTCCGATACCGACCCAACCTTAAATGCAACACGATTTTTTTTTCCTTGGGTAATTTAGTCCTGAGCCGCTACTGGTACCAGTTATTGTACTGGAAAGTAAAAGCTGGCCGGCCTCAGTTGACCACACCTTCCTCTCATTCCTGGTTAATCTAAAATCTTCTTTCTTCTTCTGCCTTTCTATCCCCCAGTGGAGCACAGGCCCTTAACCAACGCACGCCAAGTCGTTCTATCCTTCGCTATTACATAGAGCTCTCCTTATGTCCTCCCCATCTTTCTAACTTCATTCTCCAGCTCTCTTCTTCATGTGTTTTTTGGCCTTCCTTTATTCCTATGCCCCTGTGGGTTCCATTGCAAAGACATTCTAGTTATGCTGTTCTCCTGTTTTTTCAGTGTGTGTCCTATCCAACACCAGCGTCTTTTCCTCACCTCTTGGTCCACTGGAGCCTGTTTATTTAGTTCTCTCCCAAAGCTCTACATTAGTTATTCTATCATACCATTTAATTCCCTCTATCTACATGGTTCATCTAAAAACGTATGAGTCTAGCATCATTTGTCTGATGCCCCATTAATGTAAACCTTTACTTTTACTTTGCATTACATGAGGTATTATTACATTTGAGTCATCGTTTATCTGTAAAACTCTGTACTGTTATAGAAAGATGCTTCATGCCATAAAAATATTCGCCAACGAGATGCAGAAAGCGTTTATGGTCCTGCTAAGAGCGGTCCGGGAAATCATGGCAATGATAGGCCGGCTGTTTAGATGGCTGTATGGGATGGTAGACATCTGCAACGACAGAATGGGACAACCTTATAGGAGATGTAAAAGGGTAAGTTTTTTGGGGGTTTTTTTTCAGTTCATTTTGGAAATATTTCCTCTGTGGCTTTTAGGTTGGTGACGTGTCACACTGGCAAGCGTCTTACCTCTTGTAGAGCATTCAGTATATCAGCATGATCCATGGCACGTCCGCCAGCCATGGTAGCTTTACCTGCAAGCCTATCAGCTTGCTCATTTCCTTGCACGCCCGCGTGCCCCGACGGGAATGTAAAACTGAGTCCCAGCCGTTTCGGAGGCTCCAGCCACTGTCTTCGGACCTGAGAATACTCACTGAGTCACAGAGAAAACGAGCCTGAGGATTTAGGGCCGCATGGTCAGTGCTATGATCTTGATGATTGAAGGTCCCACGGCCATTGCTATCGCCACGCACTTTGCAGGCTAGCATGTTATTGTTTGCCTCCCCCCCCCACCCCCAGAGAATAACATCTCCCCCCCCCCCCCAACAAAAAAGTATCCACAACCTTTCCGATTATTCGAAAGTGGGTCTTCCACATGAAGTCCCAGCTTTCTTAGCCCTTCTGCCAGCAGCTTCTCGTTTGTTAAGCACTTTCAGACAGTTATGTGGCATTAATTACATATTTGTTGCCAGTATCATTAAAGGAATCATTTACATCACTACAATGTTAGCACGTGTGTTGTTGCGGTTAGCACGCTGGATGCTGAGTGAGCTACTGGCGCCCCTGCATAGTCTCATTCTCAGTGGACGACTGAACAGGACTTAGACTAGAACAATCACGTGAGCATTCGTGGAACTTGGAGGGAGCAGCATCCAGATTCTAATCAGGGTGTATTCCCAAGGTCAAGGTTATAGGACATTCCCAAAACTATTGAAAATTTATGTGGATCACGAAATGAAGGCATTCGGCTCTGGGTGCACCACAGACATTTTAAAAGCCTTAGAAATGTCGCTGAGGCCCCCTCCGTGAGCGAGGTCCTAAGCACGTGTTTAGTGCGCTTATATTGGGGAGGGGGACCCTTGTGGTCTCGAGGCTTGGCGTCCGCCTCGAGTGGTGGAGGTCCCGGGTTCAGGCCCCGTTGAGGGCTGGAATTTTTTTACGTGGATTTATAATAATTATCTGTGGTCTCTGGGCAGTATGATCGGACGCCCATTTGCGCACCTAAACAATCTCTTGGCAGTTGGAAATCGAAAATAGTAGCCTAATGGTGCTGCTCGTGCAAAATCTAGAGTTTAAAACCTACACAAATTGTTTTAGGATTCTCGCAAGTGGTACGGAGTTCGTGCACTGTGCTAAGATTCTTCAGACTCAGGCTTGAGTTAAAAGTAGAACGGAGCACTTATGGGTTACGCCTTGTGCCATGATAATGATCCGTTGTCTAAATCTAAACCTAAACTTGAGTGTGCTTATAGGTTGATCCGCCACTTTAGCCAACTCACCATTTACGGTCAGCGGTTAAAAGGCTTCATCAACATCCTTGTCTTTCAAGGTGTAGTTGTACACGCTTCTCTAGTCCGATCTCTTGCTATTGTCTCCCACATGCAACGTTGTATTCTTATTGCAGCTTTGTGTTTGACCACAGGCTTTCGACAACGCCTTCGACAAGTGTGTGGACGTGATGTGGATCTTCGCTTTCATCTGCTACATTGTCAAGGCTGTGGCCCTGGTGTGCAACATTGCCAGGATCGGCGAGCTGCTTTGCCTCATCGTGTCTGCCATCAGGTCGCTGGTGCTGGAACAGGTGGGCAGTTTTATATAGCAGCCGTGGTCAGTCAGTCAGAGGCTGCCTTCATAATGAAGACTGGCTGCAAGGAATCTTCAGCACTGTATTCTCTGGTTGTACAGTCTCTCAAACGTTTTTTGTTTGTTTATTTTTTTGGAAAGGGGGACGGCGGAAGGAAGCGCCCACATCTTAAACGGATCGGTATTTTTATTTCTTCAGAAATGTTCTTATCACCCAGGTTTACCCAGCCTTAAATGGGTACTAGGTAAAGACTTAGGAAGTAAAGGCGGCCGGTATGATCTTCGCCATATCGAGTGCCTATTGCTCCATAAAGTTTCGTTCTAACACACTGTGCACACTATTCACAAAGAAGAGGGAAAGGCGTCCTTTACTGTTTATATCTAGATATTATTTTACCACATGTCTCGCTGTATACCCTTTACTAGCCTGCCCTAATGTTAACAAAATTCTTTAGGTATTCTGGTGTAGTGTTGCCACGAAATAAATAGAAGCCCCAAGGGCTCCCATGGACACATACACACGCGCACACACAAAGGCTCACGTGTTCACACACACACACAAACATAAAAACACACGTTCACATAATCAGCCAGTACTGTGCCTTCTCTCAGGTTGGCCCGCCTATTATGGAGAAGATCCAGGATGTAAAGGAAATGTTCTACTTTAACGTCACCATCAACTACCACTTCCACTACAACATGAACCAGTCTAGGCCTTACAGGTACGGTGTTGTCGTCAGGTAAAGGAAATGTTGTGCTTCAATGTCACCATCAACTACCATTTCCACTACAACATTAACCAGTCCAGGTCTTACGGGTAGAGTGATTTCCCTGTGGGTTCCGAGCCTTGTTAATGGGGAAACAAGAATAGACCCACTGCCTACCCAAAAGCATGTTGTAAGAGTCAACTAATTGGGAGCTTCCTTCAAAGTCGGAATGCATCTGTCTGAGAGGCAAACAGCCAGCAGTCTGCATACAAATTAGTCAGATCTGTAAAACGGATGCACACGCAACACACAGGTTCTGGAAAAGGACTGCAGTCGAGAAGTGGATGAGCAACCAGAAGTTTCCGCCAGAGTTTACAGCTCATGAACGCGAAGAAGAAATAAGAAGAAAGTAGAGTGTTGTCGCCAGGTGAAGGAAACATTCTACTTTAACGTCACAATCAACTACCACTTCCACTACAACATTAACCAATGAGAATCTTATAGGTAGGGTGTCGTCGTTATGTGGTGTATGTGTGCGCACGAGCGCGCGTGCACACACACAGACATATACATATATATATATATATATATATATATATATATATATATATATATATATATATATATATATATATATATATACTGATATGTGTGAGTGTGTGTGTGGTTTTTACAGTGCACACGGGTATCCAGAAGATTGAATAACTTGTCAACTCTAACCTATAACAAACATATTATGCTGGATAACACGTTTCCGTGAATTCATACGGGCGCTTGACTCCTCAATGTTGCGAGGAACTCTCTCAACAACTTCCCTAAGACTTGATCGAGCCGCCACGCTCTGTTCATCTGTCCTGTAACGTTCTGTATACAACTGAGTCGTGGAGACAAGACAGAAAGTAAATGTATGCTTGATTACTTTGTGCTTGAAGAGAGAGAGTAGAGAATGACAGTGTGCAAAAAATATATTTACAATTACATATAAGGAAAAACCGTTATAAAAGCATGTAGCGTCTAAATTTACAATAATAAGAAGAAACTCCTCAGGGGAGCATGTACAGCAGGAGTCTACCAATCATCAGTAGAAGTAACCTCTCGTCGACAAATGTTTCGGCCCCCGAGCTCCTAGACATTTTCAGAGAGTGGGCTCACCTGAGTTCATGAAGCTCAGGGTTGGTTTCCTCTGCTGCACATATTACCGGATGTTATTCGGACAGGGACAAGACGAATTTGTGATTTGCGAAAGGTACTGTGAGATAAGAAGTCGTTGCGGTAGCATAATTAAAGCAGTCTGCATACCTGGACGGCCGAGTGGCAAGCTTACGATTGGTTTACCGGATACATGTTGGACTTTTGTTGGCAGATGGCAGAGGGACACTGGTAGACAATGCGGACACGATGGACTTTAAGGTATGAGACATTCTTTTCCACTAGACACCCAGACCATCTCACCGAGGCCCGTCCCCCACGTTGTTCCGTTGTGTCCAGAGCCAGCTCGAGGCCCTCTCAGCAATCTCGCCCAGCTGTTTAAGTGTCCGTTTGCGTTCATTATCTCGTAAGCCTATTGCGTTCATTATCTCGTAAGCCTAATTCTTTAATCACATTGTAGAATGAAGTGGAAACGAGACCTCTTGCGCCTACTTTGATGGTGAAGACTCTTACTGTGTACGCTTCGTCCCTCCTCAGACCGCCTGCTAAGTCCCTGTATTTCTCGATCTTATACACATGGCTTTCGTACAATATCTAACCATCGTGACCTTTTTAGGACAGCTTGTTAACCTTTGGTATAAAACCGACACTCAACTCTCACCTGTGGCTCCACGTAGCTGTCAGCATGCGACAGCGGCCACCCCCGCTGGGAAATGGCTTTGACAGGCCAGCAAAACCAGGTGATGGTAGCCGGTAATGTTTTTCTTCTTTTTTTTCTAACCATCGGTGAGTTGGGAGCTGCCTATTCAAGCATGCAAAGACTACTGTCGGCAGAATGCGCGGAGGAAACCACATTTAATTCAACGGGCAGGACGGCGATGCAAGCAAAGCGCTGTGGACTGTAGAAGATCATAGCGAGGCACTTAGAACGCCCTAGTCATCCACTGCACCTAGACGTATCTCCAGTCGTCCTGACTCGGTCTTGCCACTGGACCCAGATATGACTCAGGCGAGAGAGTAAGGTCGACGATACTGCGCAACTCTTCCTCACTTTAATCCAAGTCACTGCGCAATTCACTCTTTCATCACCATCTCGACTTGCACTGTCAAAAGTATAGCCGTTATGTGAATACGCGTGACTCGGCTGCTTAATATACACACACTAAGTAATTATCACTACAAACTATAAAGAGAGCCCCATATTTGTATTATTTTTAATAGACAATTGCAGATGAACTGTATATAGATAATCATTTAATCTTCAATATCGATAAAAACTATATGAGAAATTATGTCTCTTTTTATATAATTAATAAAGATACAATGTATTGACCAAAACTCATAGAAAGAAGTAGAAAGAAAAGACACACTAGAAAACATAAAAATCGAAAGCTAAAATTACCATACCGGAACCGAACCTGTCACCTCCAAGCGGCGTATGCGCCTCGCTTTGGAAACCAGCGTACTAAGAACATAGTCATGCAGCATGCAGGCACCCAAAAAAGGTGTCCACATTGGCATGTCTATCATACAGCTTGAAATCCACAACTATGGAATACGGGCATAAATAATCCCCAACCATTTAAATGGCACCATAGGTTACAAAAATTTTTGTTAACGAAGCATTGGTCGAATAAATAACATAGACAGCAACAATTTACAAACACAGCAGACCGTATTGCTCTGTCTAGAATACAGACCCATTTAAGAGATTTGACTAGAAGCTTCCATTGTGTTACACGTCATACACATAAATACTCGAGGGGGAACTTACTGAAGCTGAATAAATATTATAGATACATAATTAACAAAGAAATAGTGTACGATAGAAGGACACACTAGACAGCATAAAAATCGAAAGCTATAGTTATCGTGCCGGAAATCACATTTATTATGTAAACCATTTTAACTAAAAATCCGATTTCATTAAAAAAAAGTTAATGTTATTTTAACTTATAGTTAATGGCGAAACTTGATCAATTCCCGTATGTGAGCTTTTAGAGAAAATATAGCTCTAGTAGGTAACAATTTCTCTGGAGCGGGTAAGACGTGATATTTTCCTTTTCGTCGCTTCGTTGTTGTGAGTATGCGTGCGCAGCTAGTATGGTACTATTAGTAACAAGTAGCTCTCACACGTTTAAGTTTCACGTAAGCATGCAAGGAGCGATCTTTTCGCTATGTTAATACTGTTAAGAGCTTCCCGTGCTTGGCGAGACATGAACCTAGTGTAATATTTAGTAAACAGTAATAACGAATAGTGCAAAAATGCATCTTTATTTGTAAACGGTGTAAACGTTGATTACAACCATTACATGCATACCTCGCCACTGCTTAAAGGGCCTCTAGCTGGCTTTGGACGCAACGCAACAACGTAGGGGACGGGTCTCGGTGAGCTGGTCCGGGTCTCTAGTGGAAAAGGGTTTCTCACCCTTTGAAAGTCCATCGTGTCCGAATTGTCTGCCAGTGTTCTTCTGACACCTGCTAACAAAAGTCCAACATGTGTCCGGTAAACCAAACGTAAGCTTGTCGCTCGGTCGTCCAGGCACGCTGACTGTTCTATTTAGGCTGCCGCAACGACTTCTTATCTCACAGTACCTTCTGCGAAACCACCAAGTCGTCTTGTCTCTATCCGAAAGAAAAACACCATTCGGTAATCACGTGCAGCAGGGAACCAGCCCTGAGTTTCATGAACTCAGGTGGGCCCACCTCCGAAAGCGTCTAGGAATCGTGGGCCGAAACGCTCGTTGACGAGGATAATTTCTACTGACGACTGGTAGATCCCTGCTGTACTTGCTCCCTGTGAGTTTATTCCTATCCTCGACACAAAACGAGTTAACTTGAAAATTGCTGACCTTGCACTGTATCTGCGTCCCTTCGTCTCTGCTTGAACACAGTGAAATCAAGACAGCCATCTTGAAGGAGATCAGGGAGAAACTGAGTATCATCGACGTGGTGCAAGCAATCATCGACAACGTCATGTCATTCACTGTCCTCCTGGTGGTATTCAAGGGCTTCACCTACCGGAGGAAGTACTTGAACAAGCCAGGCTTTGATAATGTCTACATAACACGACACCTGTTCCAGGTGCGATGTGTGTGTGTGCTGCATTGTGTATTTGTGTTTTAGGGGAATGTTCTGATCCGGGGCTGCGAAACAACAACAAAAAAATGGTTGGGGCTCCTTAACTTTGCCCTTTTCCTCGTTTTAGGGAGGTTGGGTGGGGGGGGGGGTGGGGTGGGGGGGTTTAAAGATGTTTAACCTGGTTAAGTGCGTAATCTCTCTCTCTCTCTCTCTCTCTCTCTCTCTCTCTCTCTCTCTCTCTCTCTCTCTCTCTCTCTCTCTCTCTCTCTCTCACACACGCACACACACATACATATACAAAAAATATGTCTTCTTTATTAGAAATAAAGGTGTCCGTGTCCGTGCAGGAGATGTGAGGTTTATGTCGATGGCTAAGGGTATTTAATTTTATACAGATCCTGGAAACCCCGTTAAACCGTAAAGCCACATAGCGTAGTTATCTTGGCGCCGATTTACGGGTGAGCTGATGAAATACCTTATGTAATAAATCCACGTGTGTATGCCTACTTATCGTGCCCGACTACTTCCGAAAATGACAAACTGCATTTCTGGTGGCGACTGTTGGTTTTGGTGCCTCTAGTAACTGCCGTCTGCATTTACTGCTTACGTTTATATCTGGAATCGTGTCGGGATTAAGTGTTTGTTTACAAGTTTTTTAAATATGTGACAGTGGGGGGGGGGGGGGGGGGGGGGGGGGGGGGGCATTTCACTGGATTTTCACTGGCACAAGAACGAAGCAAGCATGGGAAAACTCGACTGCAGTACAGTTGAAATCTCGACTAAGACTAAGACTGTACTGGGGCACCACAAACTTGTTACAAAGTAGAAACATGTAGGCCGGTGTGTGTGATAAGTACATATCCCTGGTAGCCTACCACTTTTGTAGAGACAGTATACACACTCACATATTCGCACACATACACACACATGTACACACCCATACACACATACATTCAGGCATACATATACGCATATTCACACACAGACACACACAGACACACACACACACACACACACATTGACCCACACAATTATTGTTATGTGCTTGTATCCAAGGAATGGCAAATTTGTGTTTCTTTGTTCAGATCGAAGCTCGCAGGCAAGAGCTGGAGCAAGAGACCTTGTTTCCTTTGCGTCATATGGAAAAGTACAAATATCTCCCTACTTTTGCTTACTGGATGACCAAAAATGAGGTAACTATTTTGAATTTAAGTGTTGTGGGTAGATTCTTTGAGTGTCATCCGCCATCAAACATATTGACACCATTCTCCTACAGTCCATGCCGTGTGGCATTCGTAGTCATATCTATCCATAACCTTCTGCCCCGTGTAATTCAATCATTTCTGACACAGATGATCGTCCATGGCCATAATGTTAAACTATCCAGCATTTTCTCTCTCAGTCTCTTTTTCTCTCTCAGTCTCTCTTTCTCTCTCTTTCTCTCTCTCTCTGGCTCTTTTTCCCTCAAATTGTCCCACCGTCACGATGTGTGACAGTTTTCTCCTTTTTATGACATGACTAAAGAAAGAATTCAGATTGTCTCTTTCTGATTTTCTCTTCGTGCATCCGTTTCTTGTAAGACATCTTCATTACTCTTTTTATCTGTTGTGTATAATCATAAGTCGTCTAAAAAACCACATCTCTGCCGCTTCCAAACTCTCGCCGCCCCCCCCCCCCCCTTTTTTTTTCCACTAATCGTCTTACTGACATACTTCACGATCTTGATATTGCGAGGAGGCTTGACCACTGACAGTATCTGTTCTAGAAAACGGATATACTTGGGTCAGATTAATGACCCTAGAGGTTCTCGGAATACTGCGAATTAAAAGAAAGCTAATGGAAGAAATTTCAAACAAAAATAATTAAACACTGGAGGGAAAGGTAGAGTGGAAGAGAGCAAGAGGTAGACGACGATACAAGTGGAGATACCAGCCATGGAGGAAAAGGGAGGGGTGGGGTTACGGTTTCTAGATGAAGAAGTAAGAATTGATCAGCACAATGCGGAACACAGGACAGTGGCAAAGCGTGATCCATTCGCATATGTAAGCGTTAGCAGGTAACAATTTTCACAGAGAGGGCATCACATGATACGTTCCTCGTCGTCGTTTCAATGTTTAGAATATGCTTGTACAGCTAGCACTGTAGTACTAGTAACTAGTAAAGTTACTGCATGAATGGCGTATACATGCGGGGAGCGTTCTTTTCGCTGTGTTCGAGACATAAACCGAGTGTCGTATACATGAGGGGAGCGTTCTTTTCGCTATGTTCGAGACATAAACCGAGTGTCGTATACATGAGGGGAGCGTTCTTTTCGCTATGTTCGAGACATAAACCGAGTGTCGTATACATGAGGGGAGCGTTCTTTTCGCTATGTTCGAGACATAAACCGAGTGTCGTATACATGAGGGGAGCGTTCTTTTCGCTATGTTGGAGACATAAACCGAGTGGCGTATACATGCGGGGGGCGTTCTTTTCGCTATGTTGGAGACATAAACCGAGTGTCGTATACATGCTGGAAGCGTTCTTTTCGCTGTGTTTGAGACATAATCCGAGTGGTGTATACATGCGGGGAGTATACTTTTCGCTGTGTTCGAGATATAAACCGAGTGGTGTATACATGCGGGGAGTATACTTTTCGCTGTGTTTGAGACATAATCCGAGTGGTGTATACATGCGGGGAGTATACTTTTCGCTGTGTTCGAGATATAAACCGAGTGGTGTATACATGCGGGGAGCGTTCTTTTCGCTGTGTTCGAGATATAAACCGAGTGGCCTACTCGAGAAAAAATAATATATATATACATAATAAAAATTAGTCAACTATTTTTGTTTTTTTAGCAGCGGAAAATGTAGGCGGTAATTACAGCTCTTGAATGCACGCTTGAGCACTGACATTTTCTATTAAGGGAACACAGGGCAGGACATTTTACGAGGTGGGAAAATTGAACTACCTTCGTTTTACCTGTATCCCACAACCAGGAAAGGCAAATTGTCAAAGGTGTGGTATCCTGGGTGTTCACTGCCTCCACATGGTTTACTACATAGTCTGTGGCTACCTTTGTTTTAACTGTATCCCACAACCAGGCAAAGAAACTTGTCAAAGGTATAATATTCTGGGTGTTCGCTGCCTTCCACTTTGTCTACTCTATGGTCTGTGTCTACCTTTGTTTTACCTCTATCTCACAACCTGGCAAAGAAACTTGTCAAAGGTATGATATTTTGTGTGTTAGCTGCCTTCCCCATTGTTTACTACATGGGCTATAGTTATTTTTTTACCTCCATCACACAACCAGGCAAAGAAACTTATTAAAGGTATAATATTCTGGGTGTTCGCTGCCTTCCACGCTATCTACTACATGGTCTGTGACTACGCCGTATACTGGGTGCTGGATCTGGTGAGGAGACACATGGACTTCCATACCAGCTCCGCTCTGCCACCTCACCTGCAGTTCCATGTTCGAGGCCAGGGACCCATGTCGGACATGTTCAAGGTGATCAAACGTCTATTGTATGCCAGTGCTACCTGTCTTTATAAACAAGTTATAACTCACCCGACCCCTTCTCTTATAGTGACTCAAGAAAAAAAAAAAAAAAGGCACTATTTAGGTATAAAAGCCACAGATGTCACTGTTGTGGAGCGATATAAAGTAATAGACTGCAAAACCACTAAACAGAAAGAAAGTACATCTACATCTTTGTTTTTTAACCTACAAAATATTCTACATAAAATGTCAACTGGAAAAAGAGCTCTCACGATGTTAACAGAAAACAAGAATTCACATATGTACCATCTTTATTAAATTTTACAATATATACAAGAAGAAGAAGTGGAAGACGAAAAAGAGGAAGAAGAATACAAAGACGAAGAGAAAGAAGAAAAATAGGAAGCAGAAGAAGGGGGAGAGAAGAAGAACGGGAAGGGGAAGAAGAAAAAGAGGACGAGGAAGAAAAAGAAGAGGAAGAAGAAGAAGAAGAAGAAGAATAAGAAGAAGAAAAAGATAAAGAAGAAGAAGAAGAAGAAGAAGAAGAAGAAGAAGAAGAAGAAGAAGAAGAAGAAGAAGAAGAAGAAGAAGAAGAAGAAGAAGAAGAAGAAGAAGAAGAAAAAGAAGAGAAAGAAGAAGAAGAGAAAGAAGAAGAAGAAGAGGAGGAGAAGAAGAATAAGAAATTCACATATGTACCATCTTTATTAAATTTTACAATATATACAAGAAGAAGAAGTGGAAGACGAAAAAGAGGAAGAAGAATACAAAGACGAAGAGAAAGAAGAAAAATAGGAAGCAGAAGAAGGGGGAGAGAAGAAGAACGGGAAGGGGAAGAAGAAAAAGAGGACGAGGAAGAAAAAGAAGAGGAAGAAGAAGAAGAAGAAGAAGAAGAAGAATAAGAAGAAGAAAAAGATAAAGAAGAAGAAGAAGAAGAAGAAGAAGAAGAAGAAGAAGAAGAAGAAGAAGAAGAAGAAGAAGAAGAAGAAGAAGAAGAAAAAGAAGAGAAAGAAGAAGAAGAGAAAGAAGAAGAAGAAGAGGAGGAGAAGAAGAATAAGAAGAAGAGGAGGAAGAAGAAGAAGAAGAGGAAGAAGAAGGGGAATAGGAAAAAAAAAGAAGAGGAGGAAAAAGAGGACAAAGAGGAGGAAGAAGAAGATGAAGAAGAAGAAGACGAAGTAGAAGAAGAAGAAAAAAAAAAGAAAAAGAAGTGAAAGATGAAGAAGAGAAAAAAGAAGAAGAAGAGGAGGAGAAGAAGAATAAGAAGAAGAGGAAGAAGAAGAAGAGGAAGAAGAAGATGAAGAAGAAGAAGAAGATGAAGAAGAAGAAGAAGAAGAAGAAGAAGAAGAAGAAAAAGAAGAAGAAGAAGACTATCAGTGAGAGTTGTAAAAGAATTGCAAGTTCTGAGTAAAGAAAGGTTGGGGGAGGGGGGGGGGGAGTGAGAGTGAGGGTCTGATGATGGTGTGTGGAAAAAGCGAAGATAATAAATGCATATGGTGGTCATTTCTTACAGTCGATGGTAGGAACCGTGCAACCTGTAGCAGACGAAAATCTGGACGTAGACACCGGCACCTGCCTGCCCAACCCGAAAAAACCGAACCTGCCTGTGTACAGAACCATCGCCATACTTCTGATAATTACTTTCTTTCTGACGATCTTTGAAGCCTACGCTATGAGGATGCGACACGCCGTCGGTGCATGCTACTACCCGTATCGAGAGAGAGTCCGCGCTGTGTGGCTCTACAACCACATTTTAACGGTATTATGTGTGTTTATGTGTCTGCGCCAAGGAGATAGAACTTTTTTCCTGCTAAGGGCCATTTGGAAATTAGTTTTGAAAACAAATTTACAGTCAAAATAATCATTTTAAAAACGGGTGCTGTATTTGGCAATGCAGCTAATTATTTCAGTTTACAGGATGTTAAAGAAAAAAAAAACCACAACATGGTGTTACACGCAGCTGCTTTTACTGGTGTACGTTTGTGAGTTTGTAGAGAAGTCAACCCATTGAATAACCAAATCAAGTGATACCGTGGACTTTATAAAGTTTTAAATGTTTAAATGTCCCTTGATCTTGGGGTAGTGAATCAAATGTCTGGTTGTCTTGAACAAGGGCTATCAACCCAAAGCCTAATGCTTTTGAGAGAATGTTAACGTTTCACTCATTTTAAGGAGGAGCACAAAACACATTTGTAAGAAAATATCTAAAATATCTGCCAAAAGAAAGCAGGTGAGTGAACACGCTAGTTGCTGAATTTCATAACGCCTGATCTGTTGATGAGATCTGAATCTATAACAGATGTGTTGGGTGACCGGTCGCGTCCCGTTTTCACCGAAAGAGTCCTTTTTTTTTGTATGTCCCTGGCCGTCCCGTAGGTCTCAATTGTCCTCGTGCGCGCGTGTGCGCGCGTGTGTGTGTGTGTGTGCGTGCGTGTGTGTGTGTGTGTGAGTGTGTGAGTGAGTGTGTGTGTGAGTGTGTGTGTGTTTAAGTGTGTGTGTGTGTGTGTGAGTGTGTGTGTGTGAGTGAGTGTGTGTGTGCGTGCGCGCGCGCACATGGGGCAGTGAACAGTAAAGGAAAATAGAGACTTCTTCTTCTTCAACATTCCTAGCCCTTGAGGTTCATTGCTGCAGATTTCACATGCCTCAGTTCTTCTTTCTGGTTGGTGTTCTCTTTCCAATCGGTGATGCCAAGTGTTTGCAGGTCTGTCTGGATATTATCTCTCCATCTTCTTCTTGGTCTGTCTCATGGTCTACGATCATTCAACTCCCTTGTGTAGACAGTTTTTTTTTTTTATCTCTGTCATCTGACATTCTCTCAAAATGTCTCAGCCATTTCAGTCTATTAGCCCTCATAATCCAAGTGATCAATAGCGATTTAAACAAATTATAAATTGCATTGTTTCTTCTCACTCGCCATTCACCGCTGTTTACATTTTAGATGGGTCCAAAGATTCGTCCTAAGACTCTCTTTTCGAAAATTTGTAATGAGCCTTCATCTCTTTTAGCTGTGCTCCAAGTTTTAGAGCCATATAAAAAGACTAGTCTGATCAACGTTTTATATATTTTATATATTTTAATCATCGTGCTACGAGATAGAGACTTTGACCTTAGCAGATGATGAAGGGCATAGTTTACTTTATTTCCAGATTGTTTTCTGGGGGGGGGGGGGGGCGGGGGGGGCGGGGGGGGCCCCGGGGTATATCCTTTCCCTGTCATGTTATTATCATGTATTCTGTCCTATCTTGATTGAAAACAAGTTGAATTTTGTGAGCTGTTTATTTTGAGAGAGTCAGTGTTTTTAGGCTCTAGTTGATTTTCTTCAATGAAATCAATGTTATCTGCAATACCAAGTATTCTTGTAGATTCTCCTACAGTACACACTTCTTTCAGTTTCCATATAATTTTCTCCAGGGCCAAATTGAAAAGAAGTGTCACCTTGCTTTAAACCAGATGTTGTCTGAATATGGTTTGACTTTCTGCCTTTATTTGTTACTATATTATAAGTGTCTTCCATACATAGTTTGGTCATGGTAATTAACTTCTTTGGTATTCCATAGTCCTTTACAACACTCAATAGAATGTTTCTATGTATACTATCATAAGCGTGTTTAAAGTCTACAAAAACAAATTATGTACATCTCTTCTATATTCCTAATTTTTCTCTGCTATTTACCGTAAAATGAAAATCTGACTATTGTCGATCTTTTCTGTCGCAAACCCGCTTTGTAATCATTGACATATGGTTTTAGCCTGTTTAACATGACCGCCTATAGTATCTAAAAGCTTGTATACAACAGTAACATTCCTCTAAAATGTTCACATTTATACGTTTTCCCTTTCTTAAAAATGGGTATTTATAATGACTCTTGCTGCTCATGAGATAATTTCTTCGTCTTTCAAACTAGTTTTATTAATCCACATATGTTTAAATGTAATGCATGACCACCTTTTTTTTTATAGGTTTAGCAGTAATTCCATCAGCACCAATTACTTTAATGTTTTAAGCCGTGTTATTACATACAGTATTTTTTAAAAATCAAGCAGCGTCCTTGTCTTAGGCGTTGCGAGTCCGACTCGTAATTCCAACGTTAGGCGATCGAGACCCACTGCTGGCTGCGTGGATTTTTATCATCTTATGGGTCGAAGCAGATCGACCCAGCCTAAATTGGGTACCTGAATGGCTGTCCTAGGGACGTAATGACGGCCAGCGAAATGCTGAACACATTATCCCCTACTGCCGATGCATTGTGGAAATATGGAAGCTCTTCCTATTTACCCGATGCGACTAAAGGCGGGAAAATTGATCTTTACTTTCATTTTGTATTTCTTCAAAATCAAGCTCTTCATTATTTGGTTCACATCTTAGTATCTATTCCTGTGGGTAAGTATTTAGTAGAGTTTCATAATTTAACAATTCAATAAAACGTTTTCCTTTCATCTAATACATATTTATTCAGTGTTATTTATCATGCTCCTATTGCGATCTTCTAAACCATATATAGTGTGTTTATGTCCTCGTTGTATAGCCTTCAGTTCTTTAAAAAAAAAAAAAACTTTCTGAGTTAGTGGTTCTGATGGTTAGCCTCCATATCCATAACAATATTGTTCATGTATTCACGCTTTTCCTGCCTAAATAGCTTCTCTGCACTCTTTTCTAAATATATATATTTTTTTCATTACGTATTTTGCTAGTATCATTTAGCCATATCTGCCTGGCATGGGCTTTTTTTTTCTTCTGACTGGACTGCTTCTTCAAATTGTTGTCATCGAACCATTTGTTCTTTCTGTTTATGGTGGCTCACCAAACCATTTCTCTGAAGTGGTTTGAATTATATTATTGATATTCATCCAGGTTTGGTCAACGTCTTCTTTTGACGGATTTTGTAAAATTTGTATTTTACGTTTTCATTCATCTGCATATTTTTCTGAATTCGATGTTTTTTTTTTTAATCTTTCTTTGTTGTATTCTGTGTTTGATCTTTGCAACTTGGTATAGAAAGATCTCATAACCTTCTTTTTTTAATGTCGCACCAACCAGGTAGTGGTCACTATGGCACTCAGCTCCTCTGTAGCTTCTAGCTTGTTGAATGTTTGATGCATTTCTATTATTTATTAAAATGTGATCTATTTGATTATAAGTTATCTTGTCACATGATTGCCAGGTTTTTTTTCATGTAACTTCTTTCTTTGAAATCTAAAGCTGTTATATGAAGTCCTTTGGCTACTGCGAGGTTAATTAATCTTCATTCATTATCGTTTGAATTTGTATGTAGGCTTTCCATGCCTCCTACATTTCATAGGATTTTTATCTTCCTGATTTTGCGTTGACATATCATAAAACAATCAATACGTCCTGTTTTTTTTTTTTAGTTTCCTTTATGATATTCTCAAGGAGATCATAGAAATCTTATTTATTATCACCTTCTTTGTCTTCCGTGGGTGCATGCACATTGATCATCCTGATATTTAAAAAAATGTTCTTATATTTGTAACTTACCGATTCTATCATTATTAGCTTCAAAATGTTTAGTACTTTCCCACAACCTTTCCTTGATGACAAATCCCGCCGCTAGTTCATGTTTGTTTTTCAGTGTCTCCTCCATACACTAAGATCATTTCATTTTATTTCTTGAATTACTTTTATATGTCTTCAGTTCTTCAGCTGCTCCAGTTCTATAAGTGGCTGGTACATTCCATGCTCCCAATCTCAAATACCTTTAAGAGTCCAGTTTCGTTGTCCGTTTAAATCCATCTGAAATCGAGGCTTAGATATCTGTTTCGTGACGAAATGAATTTTTATGAAGGTGGGGGTGTCGGCCACACGCTTCAACCCCCAACCTGGAGGACCAGAGTGTCTCTCTTTGTTCTATACCCTTTGACCTATTTGGCTTGGAAGTCCCTGCTGATAGCAATTCTACCGCCGGCATAGCTCTTAGGGTCAGTAAGAAACACAAGCTTTCCCATCGTGGAAAGGTGGAGACACCTTCGGGGGAGACAAATGAAGACTGGCTTTACAATGTATCAATTCCTCTTCTTCGATCCTTCTGTCAGAAAACCTATATCAGGAGGCCGGTAGCCATTATGAAAGCTATCGCGCAGTCCATTTCCTCTCGTTTACCATAGTTTTATCTTCATTGTGGTTGGAACTGGCCAAATTGCGTCTCTGTTGTCAGCATACAGTTGACAGTGTTACAGTGCATACTCAGCATTTTCGGGTGCCACGCTGCAGGAGCAAGTCTCCGTATTTCCTACGCCGAAAATTTTGAACATATGTTGGCGAAATCTGTTGTGCCCAGTCCTTAGTCTGAATATAATACAACAATATTTCAATAATATGTTTAATTTTTTTTTTTAGAGGCGCGGAAGTTTCCTGATTTTCATGAGGCGACAGCTGAGGAGGAGATTTAAAAATGAGAAATCCGTTCAGAAAATTAGCATCATCAGCAGACTGCAAGCGCAGTTCCGTATATGCAAGTAAGTTTATGAATGATACAAATGGTGGAAGATTGATTGGTTCCTGGTTAGCTAATTAAATGCTTGGTTGGTTTAAATTTAGGTAGACTAGTTGGGCGGTGTTTGGTTGGTTGGCTATTTCGAAGGTCCATTGTGTGTATATTTAGTTGGTTGTCTGTGATTGGTTGGATAACGTGCTGTTAGATTCGTTGTTGGTTATTTGTCTAGATCCTTGCCTGGTGGTTTGAATACACATACACACAAAAGTGTACTCTGGCAGAAAACAGATGGTGGGAAAGAAAGGGGAAGCTTTTAAAGTCAATAGAATGCCTGAATAGATAGTTTATGTTCATACTTTTGCAAGTAGATTTGCGGTGAGGGGATTGCGAGACGAAAATGTCACAGTAAATCTATGCCACTGTACCGTGACTCGCTGGTTGACGTGCGCATGTTCCTACACCCTTCAGATCTTCATACTTGAAGTTAAAATATAAACTAACAATTATCATACGGGAGTGAACAACTGCCCGAAGTAGACACCTGTAGTAACGGTATAGAGACGAGATACCTGAGTGTTTTCTCTACGTGGCTTTATTCGATATAGTTAGGTCTCTCTCTCTCTCTCTCTCTCTCTCTCTCTCTCTCTCTCTCTCTCTCTCTCTCTCTCTCTCTCAGTCTCTATGTTCCACCTCTTAGTCTCTCTCTCTCTCTCTCTCAGTCTAAATGTTCCACCTCTACTCCTCTTAGTCTCTCTCTCTCTCTCTGAGTCTATATGTTCCACCTCTCAGTCTCTCTCTCTCAGTCTCTATGTTCCACCTCTTTTGTCTCTTAGTCTCTCTCTCTCAGTCTCTATGTTCCACCTCTCAGTCTCTCTCTCTCAGTCTCTATGTTCCACCTCTCAGTCTCTCTGTCTCTCAGTCTCTATGTTCCACCTCTATTCCTCTTAGTCTCTCTCTCTCTCTCAGTCTCTTTGTTCCACCTCTCAGTCTCTCTCTCTCTCAGTCTCTATGTTCCAACTCTCAGTCTCTCTCTCTCTCAGTCTCTATGTTCCACCTCTATTCCTCTTAGTCTCTCTCTCTCTCTCTCTCTCTCTCTCTCAGTCTCTATGTTCCACCTCTCAGTCTCTCTCTCTCTCAGTCTCTATGTTCCACCTCTATTCCTCTTAGTCTCTCTCTCTCTCTCTCTCTCTCTCTCTCTCTCTCTCTCAGTCTCTATGTTCCACCTCTCAGTCTCTCTCTCTCAGTCTCTATGTTCCACCTCTCAGTCTCTCTCTCTCAGTCTCTATGTTCCACCTCTATTCCTCTTAGTCTCTCTCTCTCTCTCTCTCTCTCTCTCTCTCTCTCTCTCTCTCTCTCTCATTCTGTCTGTCTGTCTTCTGATTGACCCAGTTATATTCTTCTCTTTGCCTTCATTCTTTAAATTGTTCTCCATCGTGCACCTTTTTTTCTCTTGTGGGTGCCAGGGATCCATTGTGGGGGAAAACACGCAAAAAGCATGTTGTAGAAGTCGACCAATAGGGGACTTCCTTCGAAATCAGAGTGCGTCACCTGAGAGGCAAGGAATCAAGTCAGATCTGTGAAACGGATGTTGCAAGCAGCACTCAGATTCTGGAACAAGACTAAAGTATAGAGATGGACGAACAACCAGAACTTTCCGCCGGAGTTAACAACTGGCAAACGCGAAGAAGAAGAGTACTTTTCTGTAGCTGTCTCGTGTGTCGCAGATCATACACCAATGATTCTCCACTCGTCTCGTATTCTAATTTCGGCCTTCTTTACTTCAACCAATCAAGCAATCGCAGCTGCATAAATAGTACTCAGAAGTGCCAACACAAACAGTCCGACAATAGAAACTCTTAACTTATTATTTGTAAGAAATTGTTACAGCTTTCAGTATTTCTGAAACTACGCTACAACACTGATTATACGCTTTCCTCTGTGGCCAGAATTCTGTGCAGACTTTTGGGTCGCCGCAGAAAGCACTGTCTGTCTTGTGGAAAGGAGGGTAAAGTGGAAGATCTGGACAACTTTATTCACTGTGACAACTGCAAGTCGCCATATTGCAACGAGTGTTTCATAGCCCTGGGTAACGTGTGCACTGCATGCATGAATCCTGTGAGTCAACCTCATCCTCATATCCTTATTATCATCATTATAATGCTCCCCATAGTCATCCTAGTGAGCTATTGTATATCATAAAGGTCTCGCAGACTAATTTTTCATTTGTTTCTGGTCCTTTACGATTATCTCGATGTCATTGATGGAATTTAGTCCGGTAACTTTTCCCTTTTTTATCAACGTTAGTCCCAGTGTTTCTCTTGGGAAATCCCATAAGCAAGGAAATAAAAGAAGTATATATATGTATATAGGAAACACATCAAGTGGTAGGCAGCTTTACATAAATAAAATGACAATAAAACAAACACGAGACGTTATGGCAATTCTTCTTTATTTACAGAACAGCGACGAGAAACAAAACACAATACATTCAACGAACTGACTACATTATGGTATTTAAATATTCGGTAAAACAAATATAATAAATTAATAATAAAAACAGACAGAACTATAACAAGTATATGATACCAGGATAGCCCCATTTTTTGAAAAATATTAGATTCACATCACCTCCAAAGCATGTCGTAGAAGGCAACTGATTAAGTGTATTTCCTTTGAAGTCAGATTTCGTCTGTCTGAAAGGCGAGGAAACAACAGTCTCCATAAAGATAAGTAAGATCTGTTAAACGGATGTGCATGAAACAAGTCAAGTTCCGGAACAAGACCAAATTCCAGAGGAGGACGAAACAACTAAAACTGTCAGCATGAGTGAACGATAATAATAATATTATTACTCCAAACTGGAAAATGGGTGATTTTGCTAAATCACGTTATGTAAGGGGGAATAGCTTTGTGTAGCTACTAGTCGCTCGTGGGTTGAGCTTCTGGCACGCTCCCAGGTCGGCGCTGCCATAAATGGGTACCAGCTAAGGTCCTTAGAAGTAAAGACGGCCGGCATGATGTTTACCACAGAGTGCCTATAGGTCTAGCCCTATATGCCCAAACCGCCTGAAGTTGTGGAAGAGGGGCCTTTACTTATACCATGTTAAACATGCACACATAATCTTTTTCTTCTGCGTTAGTCCTTATTAGGGCTGTTGATACGTCGTGTTTCGGGTTTACATCGTGGTTGCATTATCTGTACTTTTTTTCGGGGGAAAAAAAAGGGGGGGGGGGGGTTGGGGGGGGCAAAACATTTGATTTCAGAAAACAATAATAAATTGTCGCCCTTTAATTCGTAGGTATTACTGTACAGTGGGTCTATTCCCAGCCCCCCTCCCCTACGCTCCATTGAATCTTGGAACTTACACGGGTAAGACAGTAGCGATATGCTAAATTAAAACGCATTATTTCTTATTTTTATAAAACCTATTTTCCTAATATACATTTAGTAAAAGCCCTGTCTCTCATCAGTAGTGCGTTGGGCTGATCACAGATTGCTGTTTTTGAATCGATATCATATGGATGTGTACTATCACCTGATTTGTTTTCAATATACAGTGAATATATAATGAGATCTTTAATTGATATGCCCAGAATTGTGGTTGGTGGGCATAATATAAACAATTTACGTTATGCTGATGACACAGTCTTGATAGCAACAAGTCAGAAAGAACCACAGGAAATGATAGACATTGTGGTGTTAGAAAGTGAAAGAATGGGCCTCAGTTTGAACAATGCTTAAAATATCCTGCATACTGAACGAACATCGAACCAAGGCAAGCAGTGCTTACTACAAGAAGACTGGTGAACGAACATCGAACTGGGGCGTTCAGTGCTCACTACAAGAAGACTGGTGTACCGGCAGTGAACTGGGATGAGCAGTGCTCATTACAAAGACTTGTGAACCGCCAATGAACTCGGACGAGCAGTGCTCACTACAAGACGATTGGTGTACAGGCAATGAACTGGGGCAAGCAGTGCTCACTACAAGAAGACTGGTGAACCTACATCGAACTGGGGCCGGCAGTGTTTACTACAAGAAGACTAGTGAACCAGCAATACACTGGAGCGAGCAGTGCTCACTACATGAAGACTGGTGAACGAACATCGACCTGGGGCGAGCAGTGCTTACTACAAGAAGACTAGTGAGCGAGCATCAAACTGGGGCGAGCGGTGTTCACTTCAAGAAGACCGGTGAACGAACATAGAACTGGGGCGAGCGGTGCTTACTACAAGAAGGCTGGTAAACCAGCAATGAATTGGGTCGGGCAGTGCTCACTCCAAGAAGACTAGTGAACGCACATCGAACCGAGGCGAGCAGTGCTCAAATATGTGGTATTACAGAACAATGCTTAAAATACCCTAGACAGCCACACACACACACGCACGCACGTACGCACGCACGCACACACACACACACACACACACACACACACAAAGCAACCAAGAGGTTTTGATAGAGGCGGGAGCCCGAAGACAACTACAAACAGACATCAGAAGTAGACAGTCATCATTTTTCGGCCATGTTATAAGATGAGGGAAAATGGAACGTGTGGTGACCACTAGAAAGATATGTGGAAGGAGGGATAGAGGAAGAGAAGATTCTTGACAGTCTTGTTGCATGGCATGGAGGTGTGTCAGCACACGAACTGATACATGCTGCAGGAGATCGCAGATTGTGGCGAGGCAAAGCACCTGATGATGATGATTCACTATTCGCATTCGTATTAGTATTCGGCCGAATAGTTGGTCCAGCTATTCGTATTCGGCCGAATAGTGAGAATCACTATTCGGTACAGCCCTAACAATAACACACACATACAATTGCGCCCCATATTAATTTTTTTATGGAATTTGGGACGGTAGCAAGCGTGTACCAATTGCTCTACAACGGTTCAGCGTATTATGTAATACATAAGCCTCTCAACTGGGTACCAGGTGCAGTCCTGGGAAGTAAAGGCGGCCGGTGGGATTCTGACCATATCACCCACCAAGTGCCGATTGGTCGATAAAAGTATAGGTCTAGACTTTGTTCCCAGTATTCCCGGGGACCTTTACTTTATTAATGGAAGCCTCGGTTCTGCTGTGCTTGCAGTTTTGCCTGCCGGTGTAAAAGTTCTAAACGAGGTAAGTTTTAACACTTCCGTTGGGCTTTCTGATAAACTGGTTGATTCTGCGCTACTTGGTGGTTAACTGATGCGTGACAAGCTAGAGGTAAGGGCCTTGGGGGAGCCAGCAAACGGTGCGGAAGCACAAATAGATCTTGACGGTCGGAAGATAAGGGTGGACGGAGAGGAGTGGCCTTGGGAATCTCGGGAGGTGCCAGATGGACACACAATCAGACTGTTGCTGGTACCATCGAAACTGGAACTATGTGCTTTATGTTGAAGATGGGGACGGAGCGCTTATGAAAATGTCCTGAGTGCTATGATGTCACTGGGCTTTTAGGCCAAACTAGCCTAAAATAGGTACCTGGAAAAATTATGGCAATAAAATAAAAGTAGGGTGATATTTACAGCCCCTGTCGAGTGGGATCAATTAATCAATCTTCATGACGCTCAGAGGCACATAAGGCAGCGACAAACTTTCGCTACTTAAAGGTTCACCTCCAAATGCCTCTGGGCCTGCCTCTTTGACGCTTTCCTTGTGGTGTCCATTGCATTGCATGTCTCGGCCGTCTCTCTTTCTTCATTCTAAGGATGCGTCCAAGGCACCTCAATCTTTGCTTTTGTAATTTTTTTTTTTTAATTTCTAAATTTATATCTTGGAGTATGTAATTTGTTGTAATCTGGAAGTGCTGATTTTATCATTCCATGTGAACCCCACAATTTTTCTGAGAAGTCTTCTCTCAAAACCTCTGAGCACGCTCTCTATCTTTCTGTCTACTTTCCAAAGTTTGCTCCATAGAGGAATAACCAGGCTAATTTACCTGTTAGTTTTTCAGTCCTAGCATTTTTATGATTTGATCGTAACTTTCTCTTTTCTTGAGATATATCATATGTTTAATTCAGTATAAGAGGGGAAGTCAATAAGTAAGTCACAAATGGTTACTTGGTGAAAGGAGAATTAAAGACGATAACTTGAAAACCACTTATTTTTACACATACACTGTATTTTTCCCCCCAACATAATTTTAACACCAACATTGATGCACTTTTTTCATCGTTTTATCAGTGACCCTAAACCTGCTGCATAGTGCAGCACTTTGTTCTTTGAGGGTACAGTTCGTAAGTACAGTCGCTATTCTGCTTCTGTGTTGCGAATGCGCTTGCAACACCTAGCGCCACCTAACGAACGGAGACATAAAGTTTGATGCTGCTGTCACCTAATGACACTTTTAGAAACAATTAGCTACATTTTCCTGCCAACCCATAACCATTTGCGACTTACGTATTGACCTCCCCTCTTAGAGATCATTTCAACTGGCAAAACGCTTATCACCACATCATCATGTTGTGCCATTAAATGTCACAAAAGGTTAGCAGAATATTTCTCCATACCTTTCTGTCCTGTGCAATTCTTTCGATGTCATGGGTGGAATTCGGTTCAGACCCTGGGCCTCTCTTAACTGCGTATGTTTTACGGTTACATTTTTGGACGGTCTCGCTTCCGTCATTAAAAAACATATACATAAATAAAAACACTTTATTTTTAAGCGGTAGCAGTAATAAAAAGAGCTGTAGGTGGTGGCAATGACTGTGATGTTAATGACAGGGATGGTAGTGGTTGCGATGATGACACTGATTTATGATGAAAACAATGTTTTTGCTTTAGGTTGACTACGGAGATTCGGAAGATATGAGTGTTGAGACAGATTCTAGTGAAGAAGAGGAGGTAATTCGTTGTGTTCATGAAATAGCTGTAAGTTCATTTAAAAATGAACTGAGATTGTTATTTGTTGCCCCCAGTAAATATACGTATTCGATCAAGCGAAATTATTTTAGAAATTATTTTTGTTTTTTTGTTTTTTAGAATTTGCAGAGTTTGAAAATATCATCCTCTAGTTTTACCCGCTTTTGAAATAACTTTATTCTATATTTCTAGATTTATTTTAATGAATATCTTCTTTCTAATTGTCTGATAGTTTTGCTTTGAAATGTAGGAAATATTTAACAAGGGGTCCTTTTTATACCACAAGCGCATCTTGCATATTTTAATTCTTTTTTCGTTTGCCTGAAATAAGATGTCTATATCGGCAGTTTTGTATCTAGCATAAATTTCACTGCCATTTTTAGTTCATTCAGTGGTCCGTAGAGTTCACGTTCCACTGTTGTACTTTTTGGCCAAAAGGTTTACCTTAATGATTCATTCGGTGCGGTCCTGGCGTACATGTTTTACTATCTAGGGCATCTTTCGACAAGTTCACATGGCTGATACGCCTACTTTGAATTGTGTGTACAGGAGTAGTATAAGATATGAAGGATATGTATAATTTCAGGACTAATCCTGCGGCTAACGAAGGATTCGTTGGAATAAAGAAGAAAAACACAGCCGTCAAATTACATAAAAATGTAGGCTCTCGCTTTTTGCTTTTTGTGTCTTTGTTTTGGTCTGCTTATTTGTGGAAGCTCAATGGTTTGGCAGAGGCTCTGGTTATATTCTTCTTTGGGTCCTTTGTGGAGGTTTATTGGGTTTACTGTGTCTATTACGTTGGCTTAGGATCTTTGGTAAGGAGTTTTATATTTTTCTTCTTTGTGGATATTAATGGTGGTTTGCTTGTTTCGTGGTGGTTCGTTTTTGATGTTGTTGTTGTTTGTGTTTATATCGTTGGTTCAGCGTCCTTTGTGTGGAGTTTTCTTTTTCTCTATGGATAATTGTAGAGGCTCGTTTGTTCTTTTTCTTCATGTCTCTGGTGGAAGCTGTGGTTTCTTTGTGTCGGTTTGAGAACTGGGGTATTTGGTGAGAAGTATTTTGTTTTGTGTGTCTTGGTGGTTGCTTAAGGTGGCAGTTTAATAGACCAGCAGGTGGTAGTTCAGGATGCTGGCGGTTCAGGTACAAGATGGCAATATGTCAGTTGGTTGGATTAGGTAATTTTAGCTAATTATACTGCCATTGTTTTATGATGTATATAAGGTTATCTTATGTATATTAAAGTAAATTAAAAAGGTTATTTATTTCGTTTAGCTTTTATATATGAGATTGACATAGATATTGATTAAATATTATTGTATACTGGTAAAAGGTTTAATTCAAACTTTTTGTTTTATATTTAAAAAGTCCAATTTAAAAAATAAAAAAAGATTAAAAAGTTTACAAATTAAAAAAATTAGAGAATGTTCAGAAAGTTGAAAATTAAAGACTGTCATGAAGGACTGAATGGGAAAAGGCGGGTGTCAGACATTGATAGAAAAGAAGCAGAGAGCTGAGGAAGGTAGCCAAAAATGTTATGGTATGTAAAAGAAACTGCATCGCGTTATGTCCCTTGGTTTTTCAAACACTTAGATGAAAAAGAAGTAGACGCTAGATGCTTGTTTCGGTGTGTAGTGTTAAGATAAAACGAAAATTAAGTAGGAGGACGCAATAAAATCTGCTGGGGACTACCCCTGCGACCTGCCTTTGATTTTTGTAACTCTCAACAAAAAACAAAAAAAAAAAACATCGCTTATACTATCAGTTTGCAAAACAGCAAGATGTTCTCCGTGAAGAAAAGTTGACAAGATTTGTGCATCCGCAGTAAGACAAAGTCAGTTATCACACAAACGGGTAGATCACGGGGAAACACTTGGTCGGAATAGACGGCTAGTAGGTTAAATGGGCAGACTGATTTTTTAAAATAGTACTTTGAATTTGTAAAAATGACAAAATTACTTATGACACGGCCTGGTCCTTGGTTAGGGCGATCGTCAGATGAAAAGCGGGATGAAGGGACGGGGTGAAACAGTCGGTTAGATCGATACTCAGATGAACATATGGAGGAAGAAACTGTTAGTTGAATAGCTGTGTTGCGTGGTTTCAAAATTTGTTAAGACCGAGGAAAGACTTGAGAAGGACATCGCTTGCATTAGGTTGTCCCCCAGACTAGTGGACGTGTATCGAAGAACTTCAGTGAACGACTTGGTAAGATCGGTGAAATATTTGTGAAGCAGCCTGGGCGACTTATGGTGTACCAAGGACAGTGGACAACATTTAAACCTAAGTAGACACGCTTTGAAAGTAGGCGGATTAGGCGTCCCTATATTGAATGCTCTGACAATGTTCACTAGTGATCGCTTTGAAAAAGTGGCCGTCAGGGGAGAAGTTGACACGTTGATCTGCGTGAAATTATTGAAAAAGTGTCCTTTGGTTAACAAAGTTGAGTTAGAAGTTTACTTGGCTAACCTGCTTTTTGGAAAAGAAAAAAAAATGCTCCTTTGATTGTAAAATGTGTCCAACCAGATGAAGGTTTGCAAATTGCTCTGTGTCTTTATGTTGAAATGATAGATGTGGGTGAACAAGTTGGCCCAGAAGTTGACCAAATGTGAAAAAGGCCATATGTTCGCTAGTGACTACTTCGAGAGAAAAAAAAAGGGTCCATCAGTCAGCAATTGGTCATGTTTATGAACATATGTGGAAAAGATTTCTGTTGGATAACAAAGTTGTTAAGTTAGTGAAAAAAATCTACCAGATACTCCGCTAGATAGCGAGAAAAAGGGACGGTTAGAAGTTTAGTATTTTTTTTTTTAAATTGTCCATTTGATTGTAAAGGTTGACATGTTGAAAAGGTAGCAGTCAGTTTACAAAGTTGACGAAATAATTTAATCAGCTGTGAGGAAACAAAAATCAGAGACCTTCGGACCGCAGGCCGGTGTCTAACCAGTATGCGACCTCCGTTCTCAATTTGGTTAAAACTACAGATAATCTATTATTGGAAAAGTCTGTCACGCCATTTTTATGGGTAAATTCTCAAGAGCTTTATTTAAGGTATTATGTGTTTTTTTAACTTTCTTTTGAAATATTCTGATTTTTATTCCTGCTTCGCATTCACCGGTTGTAAACTCTGGAGGAAAGTTTTGGTTGTTCTTCCACTTCTGGACATGTCCTTTTACTTACACATCAGTTTTACAGATCTGGCTTTTTTTACGACAAGCTTCTTTATGGAGCCATGGGTCTGTTCTTTTCTCCCCCCCCCCCCCTCCTCTCCCTTCCGCACTTCATAAGGGACCAGTGACTCGCACGGGGAATTCTGATTCTTACAAGGATTTGCTTTTAAACTATTCTATATTTGTTTATTTAGGACTTTCAGTAAATTATTCTACGCCTCTGGTAAAATCATTCTTTCCATTATTCCGGGCAACTTTCGATCTTCTACACTATTGCAAACCATGTTTTCAGACTTTGGCTCACTTTTTTCTCCCCCCCCCCCCCCCGTGTGTGCGTGTGTGTGAGTGTGTGTGTTTAAATCTGTCCTTCGGTATATACATACATACACACACACACACACGCACGCACGCACGCACGCACCGACCGACCGACCGACCGACCGACCGACCGACCGACCGACCGACCGACCGACCGACCGACCGACCGACCGACCGACCGACCGACAGACAGACAGACAGACAGACAGACAAACAGACAGACAGACAGACAGACAGACAGACATATTGAGTTTAATAATAATTGCTATTCTCATGATTACTTTTTATGAAATTATTTAACCAGGACAGAATGACCCGCGTATCAAGTCTACAAAGGCGGAAACAGATGGTCAAACAGAAACAGGCGGAAAAGAAACCATCCACTGTGCTGAAGTCTTTCCAGGCCAGATTTTCTGCGCCTCCAGAAATGGAGTCACCGTATGGCCAATTTAGCTCCTTGATGAACAAAGCCGGCTCGAGGTGCAGTACGTCTTCCTCCTCTGAGGAGAACGACAATGAAAGCAACATCGTGGAGGAATCCACCTCCCAGTATGACACAGACTACCAGTATCACAGCAAAAGAAGCACGCCCACCCACTCAGATGACGAAAGACCACGAAGGAAGAGACTTCGGAAGAGGGTACACAAAGTCACACTGGATATATTTCATAAAGATGATAATGAGAATTCAACATTTTGGAGAACTTTGCCAGCGTGAAGCACATTTGACTAGTTCAAGTGAACAACAATGAAATTCACTATGTCTTCCTCCTCCTCCTCCTTCTCTTCTTCTTCTTCTTCTTCTTCTTCTTCTTTTTCTTCTTCTTCTTCTTCTTCTTCTTCTTCTTCTTCTTCTTCTTCTTCTTCTTCTTCTTCTTCTTTTTCTTCTTCTTCTTCTTCTTCTTCTTCTTCTTCTTCTTCTTCCCCCTCCTCCTTTTCACTGCTCGTGGCTTTCAGATGAGAAGGCCACAGGCCTCTATGAAGTCCGTTGGTTGTGCAGCACATGTCTTCCACTGTTCCATACAACTTGGTTTGGGCTTTTTCGAGGGGGACGACCCGGTGGCGTGCATGCCTGGTAGGCTTTATCAGGCTGAACATCACAATCAAAACGTTAAGCAGCAAAGAAAGAAGATGTACCAATCCACCCCTACAGGATGTGTTGAGCATGGAGACACGGAGATGGCTGCTGCATCGAAGCACGGGGAACGAATGGTTCGGACTGATGTTCTAGGATGTCGATACGGACAACAAGTAACATAACATAACAACTATCATTCTTATTTTTTGGTCACTGAAATTTCTTCTTCTTCTTCTTCCTTCTTCTTCTCCTTCTTCTTCTTCTTCTTCTTCTTCTTTTTCTTCTTCTATTCCACCTTGTACCTCAGCGAAGTGTCAGGGGGAGATGTAACATTCGTTGATGAGCTCTGTCAAGGCACTATTAAGACTGATGTTTATTTCTGTAAGGCTGTTTTAATGCCAGCACTCCAGATTTTCCGAGGTCTTTTACTCGCTCTTTACCCGTTGTAACGTTTTAGGCAGGAATTGCGTGATGCCGTAGTTTTCAAGTTCGGTTGTAGGATGTAAAGTCGGCCGTCGTAATGTTGACCACATCACCCAACGAGTGTCGTTTAGAGGTCTAGCCCTATATGCCCTTTCGCCTTTAGGATGGGAAAAAGGTCCCTTTACTTTACATCAACATCATCGTCAAGTGCCCAGCCAACTGACGTGGTGATCAAGTAAAAAAAATTAAAAAAGTAGAGGACCCTTTTCCACGCCGTTAGGCGTATAGGGCATATAGGGCTAGACCTATGTTTTTATTGACCAATCGGCACAGTGGTGATCAAGCCTCTCTATTATTTGCGATCCGCAACTGCGTGTACCGGTCAGTTCGTTTGTTGATACCCCTTTGTGCCATGACACAGGGCTGTAAAAAAATCTTCTCACGCTGTCTTGATTTGTCTTTCTTTCCATAGATCTTTCTAGGGGTCACAACATGTTCCAGTGATAAGTTGTCTTCGAGCCCTTGCCTCTTTCAAAACATATAGGTTGCTATTTTTAGCTGTCCAATGAATTCTAAGAAAGTAGTTAATATACCGTGCTTGAAGTGTTTGGTCAACAGAACTATTTCTGTCGCAATATTGACCAAAATTAACTCATTATGTTAGTTTTGTCGATTGGTCTATAAAATATAATTCTATCACTATATGCCCTATAGCCTGATGTCATTAAAAAAAAGTCCTTAACTGTACAAACCATGCTTGAAATGTTTTGGGCAACATTACTATTTCTGTCACAATATCGATCAAAATCAATTAAAACCAACCAAAAATGACACACTTTGTCCTCTTTCAGCTGCCCTAAGGCCTGCTTTATCGAGGACGGTTTCTTTGCTATCTGACTAAATTCGTTTCTGTGTGGCGATCATTTTCGCCTGAGTTAGGGTATTTGCTGCTGTATCATGTCCGCTCGGTCAGGCTTGATAGTCAGTTTCCAGGTTTTGGGGAGTGGATTTGGCAGCCCTAAAAAAGGCTGCCATTTTTGCATGGGCGGCCTGGAACGGGAAGGGCGGGGTCTCCGGTGTGCTGGTTAGTTTGGCTGTCATGGCGGCTTGGGTTGTTTCTATTAGCTGTTGCTTCTAGTGCTGGTAGTGGTTTCGTCTGCCTGGTGTGTACTTTTTGGGTTTCCTAGGCGTCAGGCGTAGCTTTTGTTCTTCCTGGGCGAAATGTCGTATGGCGGCTGTTTTCATTTGTTTGAAGAGTTGGCGGAACCAGTCTTGCTTGGCTTGGTATTCCTCAGGTGTTAAGCTTTCCTCCTCCTCTTTCCGCAAGTTCTCGTCATATTCTGTGTAGACAAGGTTTTGGTGCACGATCAACTTGTGCGGAAACATTAGCTCATTGATTTTCCGGTGAAGCTCTTGTAGATCAGCATCAAAGTCAATTCAGCCTGGTCTTTGCTTCTAAACCATTTTAATTTCATATGTTAAAAAGTTTTTGTTTTGTTTTGAATAGTCACGAAATACGTTGTATTCGTGGTGTTATTACTAAGTATCGAATAATGTATGTCTGTAAAGTTAAGTAGTTCAGCCATGAAGCCATTTTTAATCTGTTGATTTTGTTGTAATACTTCGGTATTGTATTGTACCATTATGTTATTTTTCTTTCACTGTTCACAATAAAGCTATTACACATATGGAACCAAGCGGTCTCGGGTTGCTTTCACCAAAATAGGTTACATGTAGTGTCTATACCTGGACCAAGGGCGTCGGAATCTGGGAGACCCCCCCCCCCCACAAGGAAGAATGCTAAAGAGATATTTCTCCTTAATCCTGTGTGACAGCCATATTTTTAAGTATCTATTCATACCGTTTCACATTATTTCAATTACACTATTATATTTACTTGTGATTCAACACATTATTAGTATTATCATTACACTAATCTTAATATGCAATGATACAAGGCTCAAGTCCCATTAATTAACCCCCCAACCACCCGCACACAAAAATATTTGTAAGGGTACAAGCGCACCTCCTTAGTTGTTTTTGTATCAGTGCCCCTGACTTGGACAAATAGTAACAGTTGTTTCTACCAACTATGATGTATCTATGCATCCCATTGGGTCTGCTCTGTTATTATGTTTTAAAAACAATGGATGAGAGGGATAAATGCATGTTATAGAAAATAGCTTATAACAGTTCAGATGAGTTAAGAACCGCTATCTTATCAGAGGACATTAACATGCGCGCTCCATCCCCATCACCAGCAGGAGGGGCAGAGTTCCGATTCCGCTGATACCAGCAACAGTCTGATTGTATGTCCGTCTCACCTTTCCGTTGTGTGTCGAGCGTTGGTTAGATCCCCTGATCATTTCTCGTTGCACCATTCTCTTAAGGCCATGACCCCCCCCCCCCCCCCCCCCAACAAAAATTCATTATGAGAGGATAAACACCGGAACATGTTGTGACAACGGCGATGGTTTATGAGAAGTGAGATAGAGAAAGGCAAAAAGACCGGATTCTTGATAGTCTTTCTATGGTCATGGCATTGACAGGTGGCAGTACACGAAAATATGCTGCTGGATTCCCCATGTGGGTTCCAAGGTCCTATCCTTGGAACGACAAGAGTAGACTAACTGCGTGTTGTAAGAATCGACTAATTGGGAGCTTCCTTAGGAAGTCGGAGTGCACCTGCCTGGTGACAGACACATGCCTTTAAAGGCTCACAGTTGGATCCTCTACTGTTATCCGAGGAAGTATGATATCCACTTATATAAAAGGTGTTATATACCTACCATCTATTATTTAATAGATGTTAAAAGTCGAGAGGATCAACTTTACTGCACTGGGATTTATCCGGTCTCAGTCTCCCTCTGCAGAACGGCCCTCTGATGAAAGCGTCACACAGAGCACAAACTCCATAGCTCTGGTGAGGATCCCCATGGATCTCTGTAAAAACTACACTTGTGAACTTAACGCCGCCACCGTGAAACGAACCTACAAACTTCAGCGTGCGGTGCAAACAGCTTGACTACTTCGCCACTGAGACCCCCTAATTCGTTTATATATTCTGTACAGAGTCTTTATATGTTCTGTGTACATGTTTAGAATATTTATAATCTATTTATATATTCTAGACTTCTAAACAGCCAACAATGTGAATCGACTTGTGCAGGTGAGACGCCATTATATCTTCAAGAACATTTTATGCTGGGCCCTTCCACAAGTCTACCTTGATCATTAAAATGACATTAGATAACACTGCAACAATTTACTCTTTCATTACCTGTAACTTTTAGCAAGGTTAACTGGTTCTTCTGTTGATGTATCATATCTCAATTGTTTCTATAACTCCAATTCCGGAGCTGCGTTTTTAAATTTCATAAGAGTAACAATTTTGTACTTTCAGGTACAGCCACTTTAGACTAGACATTGTTGAATAATAACTACCCGGGACTGAACGAGTTAACTAACCCTGGTGCCCCTGGAAAACCGGTTTTCCCATTTTTAAGGGTTTTTGATGACAAGACGTAAAAAAAATATAGAGTGAATAGGTAAATATGGATAAAGGGGAAAAAATCTCTGAAATGTAAACCAGTAAAAGCTGCTAAAAGAATCCATGCCGTAATAATTTCTTCATCATACTGTACAAATGTCACAACTGTTTAGAGAGAACAGTAGTGGATGGTATGGTTCCTAGAAGGAGAGGCAGGGATCTACCAACACAGCAGTGGACATAGAATATCAAAGCCACCTTGGGCATTCAAGTTTGGGGGGCAGGAAAGTTGGCATGGAACGGTGTGCCCGAATGAGAGCAACGCTCTGCAAAGCACCTGCTACATGATGATGACACTAAAAGTCAAGCACCAGCAACAATCAGCTAAAACCCACAGATATCAACACTAAGAGAACTGGACCATAGCAGACCCCAAAAGCCGAAAGCACCACATCGGACTCAGAAAGCAAGGAAACGGAATATCAGGTATGACTACACACCAAAAATAAAAAGAAACCAAATAAGACAGCCAAGGAACCTTCCTTCATATAGCAGGCCTCCGGGCAGCTGAAAAAGGATCACATTTGGAATTTTTTGTTGGACAACTGGAATTGGAAAAGTCAAGGACCCCTTTGCCACGCCTTCAACCTACTGGGTATATAAGGTTTGACCTATATTTTATAGACCAAACGGCACTTGTTGGGTGATGTGGTCAGCATTATGCCAG